TGATGCATACTTTGCTACCACTTTAAATATGAAAATAAAATCTTCCGGAAAATCCGGAAGAGTTGGCAGGTATATTATTAATCAGAAACAATCGTATTTCTTTACCGCTCTTAATTAAATAAAAAGATTCCCTAAATGGTAAAACTGTGGTGGGTTCAAATAAATTTTTAAAAGCTACCATAATGTTGCTTAACTCAAAATGTTTTTACTCATTGATTTTAATTAATTTTCATGATGTATTGGCTAGGGGCATCTGCGCGGCCCAGGCGGCCAATTTTTGCTAAATAAAGAAAGAAAAAAGGCTCCAATAAATTACGTATTTTTTCTAATAATTTAAAGTAACTCTATGACTGGGATAGCATGGTTGATAGGGACTCACGTTTGTGAGAATGGGAGTTAGAATCCAGTGGACGAAGACTCCCCGTGCAGTACATGGTGACTGGTGCACATTAAATCTGTCGGGTAACTAAGTCCTCCATGTTTCCATAACAAACTATGCCACTCGGGGTACTGGACTGGAGATTGATTATGTTCACGTTCAGGTCAAAACTACGATTTTTGGATGAATGAATGGATGTATTAATAGGTCCGCCCTATAAAAGGGTGTGATAGATGGGTATGGCAGAAGTCGAATTCTTGGCAATAGATAGCACCACTGGGAAAAAAGAGCAATCGCACCCCCAGTGCCCTAATGTCCTACGACAAAGTCAACAGAAGAACACTAAAAATTTTAACTATGCTCACCTGAATCAGCTCTGAAATAGACTCGGGTAAGTTAAATAAGGCGTATTTCAGCTGCTCCATGAGGGTGATTGTAACAAATGCTTTTGTGGGATCCAGGACATTTTTTTTATCCATAAATAAGTAGGCAGCAAAACATGTCACAGATATCTGTTGAACAATATAAAGACATTTTGAGTCATATAACAGTCAACAATGCTTATTACCTCTAAGAAAATAGTAAGATTTTCAGTTAAAAGCAACATTGCCATTAATGGCTTTGCTTTTTCAGAGAAAACAAGCGCAAACATAAGTATTAAATATTAAAAGTTTGCAAAGAAATACAGTGAAACTATACATTCTTTATAGTTTTGAAAAATCATTTTGCAATATCCACATAAAATATAAATAAATTTGTTTTATTAGTAACTAGCATAGCTTCTTCTCGTTGAAAAGAAATCATATTATAATTGCTTCCAATTATATCCAAAGCACTTCACGGCTCTAGCTCCAGCGATGCAAACTTGTACCGGACAGCGTTTAAATATTTTTAAGTCTTTCTAGTGTGTGAGTTATGGCTTAGTGAATTCTCTTTATAAGCTTTTTATTTCCACTACATCTAAATAATTCAAAGGTGTGTGTAATACGCCACTTCGTCACAGTTAAGCCGTGTTTAGCGTTTTAAAAACTCGGCAAAATGAGGTCGGCCAACTTTCCACACTTTTTGATGAAACTAAGTTTAGTG